CGCTTCAGCAAGGATCTGAACAGTGACGTGAGAGGTTCCCGGCTCGGCTCCCACCGCCGCCAATAAGAGGCCAGGCAGCTCGACGTGAGGCGGGGGCTCCGGGAAGGTCAAGACCCCTAGCAGCCTGGAACAGTCCTAGCACTGGTGTCTGTGGTAGTGGTTTCTACCTACCATGTGGGAGATCCAAGTTTAAGTCCCAGCTGGGGTGAGTAAGCTAACAGGGAGAAGTTCTTCTTGCAGTGGAAAGTGGCCATTATGTTTTCCCCCTTTCTCCCCCTCCAGGTACCTAGGCCCTATATGCCTTGTCATTTGACATTTTGTATTTTGTGCCTTTTATATTTCACCAACCAGGACTGTTTGTTCTGCTGTTTGTGTTTTACATTTTGGTTAACCCTGTTTTTTGTCAACTGGATGAATATGTCTATGATTGTAAGTGTCTAACCTTTGTTGAATCCTGCCCCCTTGGGGCATTGTAGTGTCCCCTATACCCCCTGGTTTATACTGGTTATGTTCCCAGCATTGTTCTCTCATTAAAAGGTATATGGTTAAGTCCCCATTGGTGGTCTGGCTCTGGTCTATAGGGGGAGGAGAGTCCCTACACCTCCCACAGCATTTGTGCACCTGCTAGGATCCCTTCAATTGGAAAGGGGGTACCTCTTGGAGTACCACCCGGGTTCGATTCAGAGAAGATTTGGCTGAATCACCAAATCCAAATCAAATTGGAAGATAAAAAACCCCTCCGAATCTATTCAAAAAAGATTTGGCAGTTTGGAAGGCAGTCTCACAGGGAAACAGAAACTAAGAAGAGGGAAGGGGAACAGGAGGGGAAAGACTAACATCTATAGCTGGCCAGTGACTGTGAAGTTCCCCGAGTCCCCTTCCAATCACAGTGCTCTGGGGGAGGGAAACAGCACACAAGCCTCTGTCTGCAGCCTTTCTGTCCCTTTTGTGAGCTATTTCTGCCTGAGCACTGGGAAAGCCTCCCGGTTCCAGGCTACAATCCCTGCTGTTCTCGTCCTGCTGGTGCCTTCACGCACGCACGCACGCACGCACGCACGCACGCGTTTTGCTTTTAGAAGCTTGAGGTGCAGTGTCCCAGAAGCTCCTGTACCTATCTCCTTGAAACCTGGCAGGCCTCATGCTTGCAGAAGGAGCTACTGTCTCTCCTGTTTCCATCCAAATCTGACAAAAAAATGACAAAGTTATAGGTATTTCAGTGATTCCCCATTATAGTCTACGGCCAAGTCACCTAATCTCTCCAAATCGGTGCCGAATCTTCCGAAGTCGATTCGGCCAACTCAATTCAGGACGTGATCCAAATATCTGAATTGAATCACTGTCCTCCGAATCGTTAGAATCCAAATCCGAATCAAATACTTCCCTAGTCACACAGGCCTAATAGTGAGGTTTGGTCAAAATAGCCAATGCCTTGTATTTCACAAGGGATGATTCAGTGCGCAAGTTTCCCAGGTATTGATATTAATATCACATTTCTTCAGATTGGCTTTTAAGGTTTCCAAGGTGTCTTTTGCCCACCTCTAGAGCAGTGGCCATTAGTGAGTTGGGAATATAAGACCCGTTTCAGGAGCAAAACAGCAGACCATGCCTTCCTTGTGTCTCTGTAGCTAGAGAGAGGTGAATAGACTATTTGTATCGTCTCTGGCTCAACATTTCATAAGTTACATGTTTGGTGAGGGAAAGAGCTGAAAACATCTGGCTTTGGCTTCCTCTTTTAAATGACTCACAATCTGTACTGAAGCAGAGGTTTTCAAAAATACCACCAATCATTTAATAAAACAAAACCGAGCAGTGGATCGTGCAAAGACTATGACAGCACAGGAAAGCTAACAAAATGGTAAAGAAACACAATGATCACAGATAGTAACCAACTCACTTCTATTCTGCACAGCTGCCTACAAATTCCTTTTCATCCTGCTAGCAAGTTGCCTCTGCTTGCACGAGCCAGTTCAAAATACTGATCAAAGGAGAAAATGGGTCTGGGTGCTTTTGAATCAAACTCATTTGCTCTTAAAACATGGCAAGAAGAACTGCAAAAAAATCAGTAAATCAGCTTTGTTACATTGCAGAGATTTGAATTGGCAACTGTCATTCTCTACAGTCAATGAATATATTGATATAATTCTTTGTATTATGTATATTAATGATTACTTCATGCACTTACAAATACAGTATTATATTTAATGGACCTTTTCCAGTTTTTCTATATCTTTCTTAAAATGGAGTTCTGATAACAAGCCAACCCTCCAGCTGAAACTAACCAGTTCTGAGTAGAGCAGTACCATCACCTCCCATGTTCTGCATAGGTCCTCACTGAGAACATCAAAAGTAATATAGGAGATGGTTTCCTAAGAAAATAACTTCTATTCTATGAATTTCTGTGGGCATGGACAAATGAGCAAATTTGTCCATATCCACAAATTTGCTCATGTCCATGTCCAAATTAAATTTGCAGGGAGTTAGAAGTGTTGGGAACTTGCCATGTTTGTGGTAAATGTCTGGTCAGCACGTTCTTACTCCTACAGTAAGTGAAAGCTGGGACCCCAGCCCCTTTTCACTGCCTCTGTGATCATCTCACAGTCAATAGAGCTATATCAGTTTATAACAGATGAAAATCAGGTGCCAAAAGTGTGAATGGATAGATAAGAAAGCAAAACATTTAAAGAAATGACAACACAGAACATCGAGAAGTCTTCTGAATTCATGCTACTGTGTAAACAGAGTATTAGGAACTTCCATATGATACAACTACAACTAAGATAACACGGAGACAGCTGATCACTCTAAAGAAAACTGAATCAAAACATAAAGAATGCTTTATTGAAATAGCAAGCAGCCTATCAAATAGGGAACTGGTACAAACAGATTGAACAAGACTCTCTTTTAACAGAGATGTATGGTAACAAGACAGCTTTTTTCAAGTTTTTGGAAACAAGCATCTAAGCCATAAGTCAAGTAAAGCATCAAAAATTATTCATTACAACACCATGAAATACAATAATATTAAAAAATGTGCAGAACTTATTTTTACAACCTTCTGCAAAAATTGTTAGAAAACAAGTTGTTATAAATAAAAAAAATAAAACAAACATTTTTATTTCACAAAGCAATACAGGCTTTTTAAAAACAACCATACCGTATCTAGAACTACTATTAAAACTGGGTGAAAACAAGCTGAAAATATAAATGACACCCAAAATACGCAACCCAGTTTTAACTCTCAGCAACGCCTTCTGCTATAGAAGGGGCTATGTTAGTTGTATGTACAGCATTAAACATTGCAACATACCACAAGTAAACCTTAATAAGGTCAAAAATAGGACCCTCTGCAAAAAAAGGGTGAGTTGGCAAATCCCAGTCTAGTTCCATAAATTACAAGGAGCAGTAACTTCAACAGGTATTTGGCATAAAACAAAATCTACTTTTGCTGTTTCAACCCTAGAGATGTATGTAAATAAACCTGTTTTGGTATTTTCAGTAACTCTTAAAAGTCAACCTCTTGTGTGGCTTAAAAATGAAGAAAAAACCTTCTTCCCTTTCTCATCAGGATATAATGATCTGACTATCCCAATGTCTTCAGTAAAGAAGCTGAAAGAGAAAAGTTTTAGGTACTATCTGAAAATTCATACCACCACTCTGAATCAACTTAGTGCACTACATTGCCAAATCTATCCAATAGGATATATATCATTTTCATTTTGTTTAAATTCTTAACATATATATTCTTGTTTTACATAGTTCCATTATATGAAACCAAATTGCTTATTTATTATTTGAGGCACAATGTTACCCCAAAGAGACAGTTTGCTATAAAGAATTATTCTTTAGATGTTGTGTCTGTAGAGGTTTTATGTGATACTCATAGATTTTCAAAGCTGGCCCCAGTTTTAATGAAAGTCCAGTCAATACATCATTTCTTGTCATCAGTAGTAACGATTTCCCATCTATTTCCTACAAGAAGAATTAAAGAAGAATTAAAGAATAATTAAGGCCAATGTATAAATCTAAAAAGAAGAGCAACAGACATAGAAATAAAACAGAGGATCAGTAATGAAAATAAAAAATAAAGGCTTGATCTTTTCTAAATGTTGACCATCTGCAAATGAACACTGGCTACTACTGCCCTGATTTTCAAAAGTGTTAAAGTACCTGCCAAGTCCATGGATTCTGGCAGCAATAGGAAACGTGTCATTCATGCAGGCGCCTAACTTGAGGCATCCATATGTGAGATTTTTTCCTTCCACCATATGTTTACTTCAAATGAATAGGTACAGATGGTGTAGCTTGTTTTAGTATTAGACAGAAAGGGAAAAGAAGTCTTGTGGGAAAGGCCGTGAACTGGGATTCAGAAATCTAAGTTTCATGTTCAATTAGGTTAGATATTGTTTTGTGTGACCCAGGTCACTAAGTCTCTGTGCACCTGAGTTCCCTGTCTATGAAATTAGGACAATCATGCTTTCTCATCTCATGCTCTGTCCATCTGAGATTGCTTTTGAAAAATTCATTGTTGATAACTTCTACATGATCACAGAGGCAGAAATAGAACCCAGATCCCCTAATACCTACTTCTGTGCTTTAAGCATAAAACTATCTTTTTAAAGCAATCACATTATATGACACACTCCAAACTACACCTATAGTAGCTTTACACACACCAGAGTCTGAAGAGCAGTAATTGGCATCATAGGGCTGAAGTGAATTACTTTTGGATGTTGAGTTCCTGAGAATTATGTGCCTTGATGCAGTTACGCTACACAACCTTTTCTGTAATTTGATTTAATAAAGTAAAGCATTTAGGGATTCTGAATTTGTTCACAAAAGGCTAACAAATAGTTCATAACTTGTACTCAAACCTCTTTGCCTACACTACAATATATAGTTAATTGTTTATTAAAATATCCTAAGCTGTCAGCATTTATGCAAAAAGAAAACTCCCCCAAAATGTATTGTTATTTTCTGTTTACAAACTTCAAGTGGTAATTTTTTTTTTTTTTTTTTTTACAAATTTATATCAGTAATGCTTGCCCAGGAAATGTGAACTTCATGACAGAGAGCATTTTGGTTCACAGTCAAAATCATGAGAAAAGATTCATGATTGTGTTCACATTGATTTGCCTGAACTGAGATCACTGTCTTAGATAAAGATTAATAAATGCAAAGTGCAGAGAAATTATATATATGTGTGTGTGTGTATATTTTTTTCAGTCTTTAAAATGTTTGATTCATACCAATACAAGACTTAATTCATGAATCTATGGTACTTTTACACTAAATCTAGATGAGCTATTTATAAATACTTTCCTTTAAGCTACATGAAACAAAGTATAAGCTGTTTGAAATCTCCCTACTAACTATTTCTATTAGTTCCTAAAACAATGTGTCATAGCTTAACATCTGACAATGTCTTTACAATAACTTGTTATTAAATTATATCCGTGGCCTCTTACCACTTGCTGTTGAGAATGTTAATGGTCAATAATGGTTTCTATTCTCTCTCTTCCATTCACCACAATTCTTTTGGTGGTGACTTTGACACCATTAACTATTTTGCTGGTCGTTATGATTGATTTGAAGTTGCCTTTCCCACTGTTGTTGAGTGATGTGATGGTGGATGAAGAGCAGCCCCGAGCTTGCTGAGAACCAAATGAGGTAAATCCAGTCCCTGAAATAGGAGACACTCCAGAAATAGAGACAGAATATCCTTCATTGCCTCTGCGTCTTCGTCCATGGAGTCTTCCAGGAATGTCAGAAAAGGCCTCAAATGCATCATCCAAGAGTTTCCCTGAAAAGGCATCTATTCCTTCAAAAACATTTGGGTACGGGCTACCCAATGTGAATTCAGAATCAAAGTGTTTCCCTTCTTTGAATTTCTCTCTCTTCCTATCTTTTTCTTTTCTTTCACCTTTACCTCCACCTTTTCTTTGTTGTCTAATTAAAACTCCTTCAGTAGATTTGTCATAGACATTCCTTTTTTTGGCATCAGATAAAACCTCATAAGCCTTAAAGACTTCAACAAATTCCCTTTCTGCTCCCTCTTTATTCTCTGGATTTTTATCTGGATGCAATTTCAAAGCCAGCTTTCGGTAGGCCTTTTTAATATCATCAGCAGAGGCATTTTTTTTCACTCCTAGAACCTCATAATAATTCACCATCTTGTCTCAACAATAAAATGAAGACCTTCTTCTTAATAATCACAGAAGATGCAGTGAAAGTGATTCCTCTCAGCTGTATATGAAGAAACACTGCAAGTTTTTAAAAATTTAGTAAGTTCACATTAAAGTGATAAACAAAGCATCCCTCTATGCTTCTCCATGATTGGGCTTTTATAAAGGTATCTTTGTCAGAAAGACACAAAAAGCCAGTGGTTTAATTTCAAGATAGTTGTCATTGGTGGCACAGAGTGATTGTGACATCAGAGAATAACCATACTGATGATGTTACTTTATTTGCATTCTGTAATCCCATTGGTTAAATTGTTGTGCCAGTGGTTACAGAGAACTACATATGGCATCCATGAATTGTAAACCTTTGCTACGATACAGCCAAGAATATCGGTGGGGTTATTTTTGGTACTGGCACTGAGAATTTTACTGTTACATATAGAACGTCAGAGTATTTTACAAAAGAGTCAAAAGATGAATTACAAGCTCATTCCAAAGGCAGCATAGAATTAGTTTCCATTACTAAAAGGTGGAGTGGTCTACAAAGCCGGAAGTCACATTTTCCAATAATACCTAGATAGGTGTATGTTTTGTCCAACCCCTGTAAACAAAAATGATCTTTGTGTTCCCTCTACTTAATGATGAAGGAGGAAACAGTTCAGTGGAGAACAATTTTCCATGGCATGGGTAGATGAAGTAGCTTACTTCCTACCACACACACACAATCACATTTCCCCTCCACATTAGTGGGACAAGAGGAATAAGATGGACCAGCTCGTACCTGTCCCTTGGAAAGTTGCTGAAGTGAAAGTGGAAAATCCTGAAGCAGTATTAACTCCTGCTGTCTGCTCTGTGACCACGTGTGAGAGTAGACAGAGGCCAGCAGAGAAGGGCAATGCTGGCACTGGTCCTGCTGTGTTGCCATAATGGATGGGTTCCAAGAGGAAAACAAATCTGAGGAGCCTTAGAGACGCAACAACTAACAGAAATACATAGATAAACAGACTCTTGATGGCTAGCAGCTTTCCCCACAAAACCACGGCAGCCGTCCTACCTCAGTGTCATCAAGATAACTTGTATTTTTATTATATTTTTCTAATTAATAAAATAAAAGTACTTTGTGCTTCTACACTTCTTTCCATCCTGTAGTCTCTCAGTTCTTTTAGGCTAGGGACAGACATTATACATAAACTGGTTTAAGTGATGATCAGAAACCGGTTTAAACCTGTACTGGAGCAGATGTTCAGTGCACATAAACCAGTTTGAAAATGGCTGAAACCGGTTTGAGATAAACCTGGTTGAGTGTAGTATCAGACTATGGGTTATGCAGTGTCTGTCCCAGACCTTAGTGGGTTGGCTTAATAGTGCTGCTGTAAGGTTAGGAGTTTTTACTGCTACATTATTGGCAAGTTAACTGAGGTACTAAGAAGTTAAGATATTTGACTGAAGTCACATAGGCATATGCCACCGGGTTCGGAAAGAAAAGCCAGGGTCCCTGAATCCTTAGTTTGTGTCCGTCTTACACATAAAACCATCCTTCCTGTGTGGGCAGAAAGGAGTTGCAGGTGATCTTCTTGATCAAGAATTATTAAATTTGGGTAAAACACTTGATTGCTTATTTGTTCATCTTGGGTGCATCTGCACCTGCGCTTTACTGCAGAGTTGACTAATTAGCTCTGCAGTAAAGCGTCACAATCCACATATGCACCAGTACAAGGGCACGGTAAACTAATTAACTCAGCTGTAGGATAGTACTGTTGAGGACAATACTATCTGAGAGTGGAGTACTTTATTGCACCCAGTCAGCCAGGGGCCTGCTCCACCCCGGCTCAAATTGCAGCTGTCCCAGGCACATGTGTATATGCTGTGCCTGGGACCAGTTGATTCTGGCATGAACTGCTCTGAAGTTTATTGTGTTGTATTAATTTAATGTTAAATGTACCCCTTGAAATATAAAATATGCTAACAAATTAAAAACAGCTGCAGAAAGAGCCTACTTGACCCCTTCTGGGGAAATACCCAAACCAAGGCTAGTTTTTCCCACAAGAATAAAAGATATAATTTAGCTACTACACTGTACTTATTAATTACAATCATTTGGGTTTTATTTTTTTTAAGCTCTTAAATCAGCTAAATTAACCCAGTGCAGGAGGCTAACTTTATTCTCCTTTCAATGCTGCATTTGTTTTTGAAGAGTTCTGTATTCATTATCATATTTAACTGCACTGCGCAAAACAATGCTAAGGCAGCTCTGTGGCAGGCTGTTTTTGGTGACCACAAGAGGTTAGACCATCAACCTCTGAAAGAGTTTATGGCAAATTTTAAGGAGGTGGATAGATGGGGAAACAAGTATTTGACAAGTTCAGAACCATCTCTAATTAAATAAGCAGTCTTTCAGTTCAAGGGAGGTATATCAGTATACCAGTATATCAGTAGAAGGCAAAGAGTCAGAATATTGGTTCTGAAATATTTTAAATGTGTGAGAATTTTAACTTTTGGTAATCATCGTAGGTCCATTAAATGGGTTCGTTGTATTGGGAGAGGGAAAATATGATTCAAATGCATGTTACATATGAAACTAGGTAAACATTCCAGCTGTCTAGCTTCCCAGTTCGAATTTTACTTCACCGAAACAGAACCCTTTAATTTGTAAAAAATCTTAAAAAGCAAACAAAGAAAACAGGTAGAAACAGCTTGTCAGGAAAGAGACTGATATTATTTGGCTCATCAGTGTGATTTTTCTCACCAGTATTTTTGAATTTATCAGATCCTGAACTGTAGGAAATAACATCTCAGTGAAGGATGTAAAGAATAAAAAGAAAAGTGTTTCCAGAACATCACCGCTCTCATCAGATCAGATTACTTTGGTATTCATTCATTTGTTCATTCATTCACTGTTAATATACCATTTGGGGAAAGCATTTGAGTTTGGAGACTTAAACTTGGGCAGCTAAATCCATACTGAGGCACCTGAACCTGATATTTAAGAGTGTTGCTATGCCCAGGAATACTGCATCTTGCAAAAAACCAGACCACTTATTCTGCTACATTAATACAAACATTGCTGTCTAAATTTAAGTCCCCAAATCTGTACAGTTGGGGATTAGTGTTCACAAAGTGTGAGCCAGACTGATAGACCTGGTTTCTAAAATCTGGATTTACATATGCACTACATGGTAGTGCGTAAGCAAGCAATTTTCTTGACACTGTTTCACTCATATGCCTCAGCAGTGTGCAGCTGGCACAGTTTCAAGGACCTGTTCAATCATTCAACCTTGCTGCCGACAGACACTGCCAGCAAATATGTTAGTTGGTACCATCTCATGGTGGTTATGTAAATAGTAGAGTCTTTTTACATGGGACATTGAAGCTCTCCCTGGTCAGTTGTGACATGGGCCACACTTGAAGCAGTGATGGGTAAGAGAAAGGCTCCACATTTCTCCTTATCAGCTTCTAGCGTAATCCACTCTCTGGTTGCCCTTTCTGTCCATTTTTAAGGCCATGGATCCTTCACATGGCAGAGAAATGGCTGCCATGCAGGAGTATAAGCTCTTTCCTCTACTTTCAACATGCTGTTTCCTTCTCTTTTTAGCTAACTTTTGCCTGGAACCCTTTACCCAAACCACGAGAGAAGGTCTCAAATTGAACAAAGCAGCCCCTGCCCCAGTTTGCCGACATGCTCTTCCCACAGCAATTTGCTTTTCAGAGCATCAGCATCTGCCATGCATTCCTGGATTTACATGCACAATGCATCTCTAAGGTAGCAAAATGCTATCCCTATTTAACATACAGTGAAGCTGAAATAGTGACTTGACCAGGCTTGTACAAGAAGACTGTAGCCCAAGCCAGGAACACCGTTCAGCTTTTTTTTTTTTTTTTTTAGCTTCCAGACTAGTGCTAGAATTACAAGACTAGCTTTCCTCCAGCAGTGCTTCGTGAAAGGAAAAACCATGCAAAGATAAAAAAACCCAGGAGCAGTCACACACATGAGCCCTTCCAAGGAGCCCTCTCCAATTGCCTGTACAGTAACTTTTGTACAGTGAGTCCCTGTGGCACAATATGAGGTATCAAAGCATTGTGGTAGTTGAAGGGTTAACATGGGCTTCCCAAGTTACCTGTTCTTGAAAAGCAATGGCTTGTTCTTCAAATCCTGCAGTTCTGAAGTAATTTACAACATCGGTAACAGCCCAGTCAGCAGGGTCAGGAGGTCGCCCGTTCTCTACTGAACTGCAAAATGCAAATCCAGACAAGTAATTACTAAATGTGCACATACTCCTGTGTGTGCACCCCAGCCACATTTTCTGTAAGATGGGAGGTGTCTTTTGCGGCCCTTATACAGAAAAAATGGTTGCTCATATTGTCTCCTACTTCAGTGACCTGATAACAAGGTCAACACACAACAGTTGGATGCTTCTCCTTTTAGGAGCACGTAAGATTTCCATCTTAAAATTAGCCAGGGTAAGTTGCCTCTCTTACCCAGGCCCTGAAAATGATGCATTCAAGCTCTCCCACAACCTCCTGGCACTGGAGCCCAGGGCCTACCATGTTTGAGACTTCGACTCTGGTCTCTCAACACTTTGCTATTTGTTTTCTTCTACCAAGCTCTGTACAAAAGATTTCTCATGTACTGTCCTTGATTTTCCAGTCTTTTTGAAGATCAGATTATGTTTCTTCATGGACTAACATCTTTGTACATACCTCTATTAAAATATATACTTACATATTTTTTTCTAAATCAGGGATACACATACAGTGATAAGCTCTGTAAATACTCGTGTTACACAAGTGTCCAAAATTGCTGTTAAGACTTAACAAATCTATGGATTTTCTAATCAGCTATGAGCCCTAGAAAACATCTGTTAAACATAATCAGAATCGATTCCTTATTCAGTTGACTTAGACCAGCTGTTTCAGCAGCAGAAATAACAAATCCTTCTTAAGAAGAGACTGGACAAACACCTGGCTGGGATCATCTGACCCCAGCTCTTTCCTGCCCAGGGCAGGGGATCAGACTCAATCTGCTGAGGTCACTTCTGACCCTGAAAATCTATGAAATCTATAAATGCTACCTATTGGTTATTGATTCAGAGCAATTTCAGACAGCATCCCTTATCCTGAGCCTGCCATTGTCTCACAGATAAACTTTTTTTCTGCAAGGTGTTGGTCAGAGCTGCATGCAGCTACACTGGCTTCCTTTTCAAGCACTAATTTATGGAAATGACCAGTGTGGGAAACACTCAAAGGAAGCAACTATCAGTACTTTTCTAAAGTGCTTCTATGGCTTGAACTTTCAAAATACTAAAGAAGTTTGCCATAAATGTTCCTCAGACAGGTTGGATCATCGTGGCCAGCAAATAGTCCTTAATGGCTCAGTGTCTAGTTGGGAAGAAGTATCAAATGGGTCCCCAGGGGTCTATCCTAGATCTGGTATTGTTTAATATCTTCATTAATGATTTGGATGATGGGATCAAGCGCATGCTTAGAACCAAGTTGGGTGGAACTGCAGATACTGTGGAGGGCAGGGCTTAGGATCCAGAACAACCTGGATAGACTGGAGAAATGGTCTGCAATCAATGAGATAAGATTCAACAAGGACAAGTGCAAAGTCCTGCACTTAGTATGGCATAACTGCATGCAACAATACAGACTGGGGAATGAGTGGTTTGGTTGAAGTACTGCAGAGAAGGAGTTGGGGGTTATGGTGGATCTTAAGCTGAATATGAGCCAGGAGTGTGCTTGTGTTACAAACAAAAGCCAACAGCATCCTGGGTTGTATTAACAGGAGTGGCTTGCAAATCAAGAGAAGTGATCAAGTGGACAAGAACTGAACCAGGATACTCAGAGAAATTGTGGAATCTCCATCCTTGGAAACTTTCAAAAGCAGGTTAGATAGTTTAGTTAGATGGGATGGCTTAGTGATGGATGATCCTGCTTTGAGCCAGGGCTGGACGAGATGACCTTGTGAAGTCCCTTTGAGCCCTTCTTTCCTACAGCCCTTACTGAATGGTGTCATCCTTGTCAATGGTATTAACTGTAGCATCAGTGATGAAACAAAAAGTTATAACTAGATGTATATACTTCTGAAATTAAGCTAATCACCACCACAATTCCAATGAGTTAAAGGATTCTTAAAAGATAAACAGTGTCAAAGAGCAAGGCTTGAATATAACAAATATTTTGAATATGAATATGAAAAAGGCCACATTCAACCTTCAAAAAGGTGCCCAAGAAGCTCATGGAAGTTACTGGGATTTACATGCATACGTTCAAGAACAGAAATTTGGATCAGATATTTACAGCTCTAACACACTGTAGCTTGAATATGAAAGCGGAGACTGCTACAGTTCCTTTACTATGAGCAGTCTTCAACCTCAAAATTTAATCCCAGATGCACAGCACATACAGGTATATCTCTGTATGTACAATGAGCCCATGAACTTCAAACTCTAACAAAGCTCACATAATCAAGGCATTCAGAAAGACGGTACTAGCAACTCCTGCAAAAAAAGGCTACTTTCAATTGTTTTGGATATTTAAAAGATAATTCTGTTGAATCACTCCTTCTCTCCATGCATCTGTCGGTCAACAGTGAACTATACTGTGAGCTAGCAGTGAAAGCAATGGCAACGTTGTGAGGTTCATATCTGCAGCTTACACCTAAACTAAGAGCCAAATTCACGGTGAAGAGAGTTCCTGCTGCTCATAGGGCCTCGTCCGTGTTCATACACATTTTATGCTTCAGCCATCTACGTAGACACTTATACAGCCCCCTTCCTCAACCATGGTGTCAGTGCTGTTCTGTTCCTGGTGGACAGACAATCCCCCAAATTGCCAGAATCATGGCAACTGGGATCCAAAACTAGGATCTAATTTTTGGATATATTCTGGTATTGCATACATGACATCTTTGGAAATACTCTGGTATTGCATACATCAGCAATCCCCTTATTTGAGGATGATCTTTACCATGGCTCATTGATGAGTTTTGAGATGATTTAAAAGTCTGATGCTTGAGCCACAGATCTGTCTGCAGAAGTTGCAGGTCTTTCCACAGGGAAGAATAGGTTGCAGGCTAGGATTCCTCTCTTCTTCCTTCTTCCTCCACTCTCTCTTCTTTGCTTTGAGATTATGACGGTAGGTCGCTCACATTATGTATCTGTAGAGGAGAGTGGGGATGATGACTGCATTGTAGAGCTGGATCTTTGTGTCTTCCTAGATATTGCAATGAATAGACATGTTAAAGCAATTTCCCAAAGGAGGCATTTGCATACCAGATACTGTGCTGGATCTTCTCATCAATATTCACTCTCTGAGATGGCTACTGAGGTAGGGGAAAGGCTCAACTGCCTCCAGGGTCTCTCTCTCAATGGTATTTTGCAGAGAGGGGTCACATTAATGGCCTGGGGCAGGCTGATAGAACACTTTAGTCTTCTTGATGTTGAGAGAGAAGCCCAAAGTTTGGTAGGCTCCTTCAAAAGATCCAGTGCGGTCTGGAGGTTTTCCTTAGACTGTGCAAGGATGGTGCAGTTACTAGCATATTAAAGGTCAAGGATGGTTGTTTTGAGTACTTTGATCTTTGAGCAAAAATGACCCAGACTGAGCACTGAACAGATGGAGGGCTCTTCATCAATGTTCATTCTGGAAGGAAGGCAGTCCTCAATGAGAAACAGAATGACTGTCAAAATAAATGGAGAACAGAGCTGGGGTGATGATACTTCCCTGCCTGACCCATTTGAATGACACATGGATCTGTCTCCAATTCACTACGTAGATTGGTTGTAAACATCTGGTTGTGGAGAAGCTTCAGGACTTTGATGTGCTTTTCAGGGCATCCAAATCTAGCCAGTACTTTCTACAAGGCTTCACAATTTATGGAATCAAAAGCTTTAGTGAGGTCAACGAAGGCCATATACAAGTCCTGATGTTGTTGTTGACACTTTTCTTGGACCTGGTGGGCAAAGATCATGTCAACTGCCCCACAGGATAGCCTGAAACCAGAATGAGATTCTGGCAGGACTTACTCAGCAAGAGGTAAACGACTGTTCAGGAGGATGCAGGCAAGAGTTCTCCCTGCTGTAGAAAGGAGGGCAATACCTCGATAGTTCCCACACAAAAACTTCTCTCTTTTCCTCATGATAGGTCACAATGTTGGCATTCCTTAGATCCCCAGTGATCTCTTCACTGTTCCAAGTTTGGAGAATAAATTCATAGACTCTCAGTAACAGTTCCTCACCACCAGACTTGTTGATTTCAGCAGGTATGCCATCCAGCCCAGTAGCCTTTTTGTTCTTGGTTTCCTTGCTGGAATACCAGACTTCTTCTAGGGGTGGTGACAGATCCCCTTTCAGGGTTTTGGGGGATGAATTCAATGGTGGTATCTGCTACAGTCAGCTCAGTTCAGGAGTGCCTCAATGGGCTCTTTCTATCTAGCTTGGATAGATTGTCTTTGAGGGGCATTGATCTCTCCTGTGATCACAGGACTGTTGGACCATGGGAAGTTGGGCTATAGATGGCTTTTCTTCCCTGGAAAAAGCTATGCATGACACGTTTGTCAGCATAAAGCTGAATCTCCTTGGCTTTATCTTGTCACCACTGATTTTTGATTTCCCAGATCTTCCTTTGAGCTTTGGCTCTGAGGAGCCGATACATCTCATCCTCCTGCTGAGATGAGATATCATCTTGCGAAGCAGAATAAGTCCTTCTCTTTTGGTTGAGGAGGGCTGGGATCTCAGCTCTCACTGAACCAGTCTTGGTGTCAATGGGTGGTATAGTCAATGGATTCAGCACAGGCCATATGGGAGTTTTAAACCCCTTCCATAGTTCCTCAATGTTGCCTTATTTGTGGACAGGGCAGAGATCTTTTAATGGAGACACCATTGGAGTATCCTTACAGATCTTTGGGTCTTGAAGAGATTTGGTGTTGAGAGTCCTTCATATTGGTTTGGGCTGTTTTTGGTGTTTCAGAGCAAGCTGAATGTTCATAATGGATCTGATAAGATGGTGATCTGTTCAGCAGTCATCAGTTCCTCGTGTGGCTCACATGATATAGATATCCATCCAGTCATGGGCTCTAACAACAGCATAGTCAAGAAGAAGCCAGTGCTTAGAGCAAGGGTGCTTCCAGGTGGCCTCTCTGCCTGAAGATGGTGTTTGTGATGACAAGACTGTGCTCCATGCATTTGCTCACAGGGATGCCTTTGGAGTTGACTTTCCCTATTCCTTCCTTC